ACAAGGCAGTGAGTGCCGTATCACCCACACCATCCAAGCATAAAAGGCAGGGAATATTTTGTGTTATCGCACGGATTGAAACCCGGGTCTCCAACTCCGAAATGTATCCCGTTGGGATGCTGGTAAGTCTACGGAGTTACAACGCTAAAATCCGGGGTTCGATTCCCCACTGTGGACACAGCAGATAGCCCAAGGTGGCTTTGCTCTAAAACAAACAAACAAACTCCGAAATTCCGAACTCTAACCCTACAACAGTCGGCGACCTTTCTTTATTCTCTGTAATCATATATAACAGAAGTTTCGAGAACTAGAAGATTGATTTCAGTTTACATCTTCTGAATGTAATTCCGTTTTTTCATACACACCGCCAAACACGCAGCTATATTTTTGATGACGTCACTTGTTATTGATCAGTGTTCAGGTATCAATACCACGAAAACCATTACCAAACTGGTACCTCCTTCTCTCGTTGAGTAAAAAATATATAGTACGGAGATACGGAATCTCTGAAATTCTTTCTAAAATAACTTTACTTAAAACACATGTGAATATTTGTATATAATAGACGAGATGCTTCAAGTCACAGGGAAAGCCACATGCAGGGTTGTTTTTGAACACCAACAATCACTTCGACAAGAATATCTTAAGTTATGGTTATTAGTAAAATATGTCCAAAGTTCGACTACTGATAGGTTTATATTGCCCATTCGTTATTGGAGAGAAATTGCAACATACTGAAAATGTTCGGGTTATCGAGTTTCTTGAATTGTAATTTTTTTTTCCTATGTGTTTTCATAGTTTCTTGAAAATTTATATACATTACCGTATGACGTGATGTATACATGTTAAACTACGCATCACTTGAGATAATCTGTTCTATACAATTTATGAGATAATATGAGCACAAACCAAATATTGTTTGTTTGTTTTTTCAGAATATAGTGGGGAATCAAACTTCACTGAAACACTGCTTTTTCCATGACACAAACCTAACCAAACAGGTTTGTGTCATGGAACAGAAGTAATATTGCAATGTTTGGTTAGTTTGTGTCATGAAACAGAAGTAATACTGCAATTTCTGGTTAGGTTTGTATCATGGAACAGAAGTAATACTGCAATGTTTGGTTAGGTTTGTGTCATGGAACAGAAGTAATACTGCAAGTTGCAGTATTACTTCTGTTTCATGACACAAACCTAACCAAACATTGCAGTACTACTTCTGTTCCATGACACAAACCTAACCTAACTTAACTAAGTTAACAAATCCAAAGAAACTAGTGTTCACGGAT